ACTGACCTAGGGTGAATTTTAAATAGGGATAATTTTTAATGATTTTAATAAGAGACACAGCTACAAATATTTGGTTTTTAATTGGCTTTTATTGGGGAAATGTACTATGTTGTTTTAATATGCTGTGAGCCGCCCTGAGTCCCGTGGGGAGAAGGGCGGCATATAAGTCTTAAAAATAAATAAATAAATAAATAAATTTGTATGAAGCCCAAAGATCTTTTCGCAAAAGCTGAAAATTCTCTTACCACCTGAAGTCCCTGCTGAAATCTCAGTTGAGAATTGAACATTTCTTTTTATTATTATTATTATTATTATTATTATTATTATTATTATTATTATTATTATTATTATTATTATAGTACCTAGTATCAATGTGGGTTTGTCAGGCTGTTTATCATCAGCTTTTAATTAAACATTAATTTGTTCTGTGTTGTTAAAATTCATTAACCAGAAGGATAATAAATTGTAGTCCCTTTTACTAATGTTTACTTGTAAATACTTCTTTATTCTGCTCTTCCATCCTTCTTTTATTTACTTGGACTCACTGAAAATATATGTGTTTTAAGCAGACAGCTTAGAAGAAATACGTTTTTGCTCTTAGTTTTTGTAGTATTATTCATTATCAGTAATAATTAGTTGAGCCCAAGCCCCAAGAATGACGTGATGATTCTTTCAAGCTCATTTCTTTATTTTTTTTCTACACCCACATATAGAATCTTGACAGATTAAGCTCTCTACTATCTGCATCTACCAAATACTCTGAGAACTATTAGGAAGGAGCGGTCTTCACTCTCTTTCTCTCACACAAAATATATGGATTGAGCTGCCTCTTATTCCTCTAGAATATTCTAGAATATTCCTCCCTCCTGGGAATCCAGCCTATTGCATTTCATCACAAGTGTACTGAAAATGTTAAATAAGAAGAAAACAAATGAATCATAGAACAAATCAATCCATTATGATACAATGTATCATAAAGTATGATAATTTGACCCTGGTCATTTGTGCTTCTAATGAAAATTGATTTGTACTCCCTCAGTCTGCATCTACAACATTATGCTACTTACATTCCAAACCTGATTTAAATCTACAGGAGTACCTCCTTCACTTATGTTGCCTTTATTAGTTTTCCTCACCTTTAAGGCCAAATCAATTTGATTTTTAATATTCTGAATAATGTGTCCTTCCACGCCAGAATGGTTGCTCGTCTTTAATAAACCTCTGAAACCAGAAGATCAAAAAAAGAAAAGAAAAATTATGCGCCAATTCATTTTTCTTTATCCTTATGGTCTCTTTATTTCTGACAATTGGCATGCCAACTGAGATTGATGGAAGTTGCAGACTAAAATTTGTGGAAAATCTAAATCGGATATAATGCTCTTAAATATCATATTTTGAAAGTATAAAAGACCAGTAGTACAATCACATTAACTAAATTTTCTGTTAAAATACTTAATAATTAGTAATATGAGCCATACCTAAATAATATGTATTTTCCCTCTTCATCAAACTTATCTAAATACAGCTGAAAAATCTTCAAGCTCTTCTTTCTCTACATAGAAACACAAATATGGAACATGTGAGATTTATTTGCATTTTAAACCCAACAATTTTAAAAGTCATAGAAAATTTTATTACATACCAGAGATTCAAAAGGGCATTGGGTCATAATCTTGACCAAATCCTGCCATTAAAAACAATACAAAATAAAAATTATTCCAGCAATATAGTATATGTTAGACAAGTTGGGCAATTTAATTGTTATGTACAATGGGAACCATCTTTAATTCACAAAAATAAAATACTCCTTCCTTAAGCCACACTACTGCATAAATATATTGGAGAAGGAAAGACAGAAAATTATCTACAACAAAGGCATAAAGAAGTGGATTATGAAATAAGTTCTAGAAATGTCAAGCCCAATACTGAATATCTTAGCCAGAAAATTATAGCAGATCATTTTAGAATTATCCAGTAATGCACAGTTTACAAAAACTCTTGCTTCTGATATCACAACATTATCAATTTGGCTTTTCACTCCACTTCCATTTATTAACATCCAATATAGATGCCAGCTGGTATTGGCACTTAAAAATGTGGCCCACTGTCCCAAAAGTGGATGCAAAATATTTGATTCAATTCATCATGTTCTCTGTATGATATTGAAATAAAAAATGGTGCCTACCTACAATATTCGACTACTTTCACCTCTCCTTTAGGAGAAGCAGAGCTAGTTAACTGTATCTGACTAGAAAGCATGCAGTGCAGTACAGTATTAGTATCTGGAAACAGAGTTCTATTTTTGCTCTCTATAAATTTTGGGATGTAAAGATGATTTTCCATTAAAATGACAGAAACAACACGAGATTAAAAATTTAGTAGATTCTTTAACAAAATGGGCATTTTGACCTTCTTTGTATCAATCTGTTTAATTAGTCCCATTACAGCACTAAATAAATACTATTGACAATCTTCCTAAAGCACTTGAGAAATATCAACATAAAGCATTCATGTAATTAAAAGTTTATGGTTTTCCCACATTACCTGAGGTGTTGTAATAAAGCCTTCAAACTCCAAATACTGAAGAAAAAGGCTGCTATTCTCCAATCTCAGGAGACAGTTTTCCAAAAGAGCCTACAAGTTAAATTGATACATTAATTTTAAAAACTATGGGCACTGCTCTCAGTATATCAATTTCCCGTTATAAAACAGAACATTGAAAGTATATTTTTTTTATTCCTTATGGGGAATAACCAATTCTTCTCCTTTGTTTACATTATCCAATTTTTAAACTGCTGCAATCAAGCAACTTCAGCAATTTATAAGAATTTAGTTTATAGTGTAAATCCAACCATCTGTAAACCATGCTTTATAGCTTAGTTTTGTATCAGGTAAGATTGTTCTAATTGTGATCTGTTTTATAAGTCACAATAACTCGAAATCTTAAGTTCAAACTACACAATAACTTCATGCTGTGTGCAAATCCAGCTAAAGAGCCTGCTTTGTCTATGGCAATTTTTTTGCTAGATATGGCATATGACACCTTACACAACTACGTCCATTAACAATAAATTATGTTTTCAGGAATGCATATCAAGTTATATTGTAACAATAAACAAAATCCATTTAATATATATTTAACTTGGGCTATCTTTTAAAGAAGTCAAGTGAGGTTGAATGTAATGAATGTTTGCACTAGAAACCTTTAAAAAAATCCCAGGTTAAACTAGGAAATTGAAAATGCATACTAGATGAAAGCAGTGGCAGTGGCAAATCACTTTCATACTCTTGCTACAAAAACTATACAGGTACCAGAAGCCAAGCTTAGGTTGAGGAGCCTTTATTAATTAGATGTCAGATTAAAGCAATTCAAAATAATTGAACCTAAGAATTCAATCTGATACATTTTCAAGCAAGCAGACATGAATTCAAACTTGCTTATAAAGCATGTTCAATTTTAAAGAAAGTTGGAATGAACTTTTATTTTCTGAGAACATAAGGAAAAATAATTTATGCTTATCCTACTTACAAGTCCTTTTGATAAAACAGATTCTTCTGTCCTGCAAAATAAACAACAACTAGTTGTTCATACCATCTTTAAAGTTTTTATTTTGCTGTCTTTTTTAGAAACAATTTCAGATTCTTGTCCCCGATGTAATATTTTCAAGATAGATAGATAGATAGATAGATAATTTAATTTGTATACCGCCCTTCTCCCATAGGACTCAGGGCGGTTCACAGCATATTAAAAACAAATAATATACACACAATACAAAAAATGCAAAATACAAAAATACAGAAATACAAAAAATAAACCCCGATAAAAGCCGAATTAAAACCAAATATTACCAGCTGTGTTTCCAA